GACTACCCACAATGCATCACTGACCCGTATAAATAAATAGCCGAGAATAAAAACAGAACTCGTGGCCTGATGATTGCATCTAGCATGAAACAGACTGTCGCCTCTAAATATTGACTTCTATGTTCAGTTTTATATTTACACACGCTTTATCTCTGATACTGAGCACTTTATCCCATAACTATAGCACATCTTAAGACTATATATATATATATATATATATATATATATATATATATATATATATATATATATATATATATATATAAGTGCTAAGGGAGAGAAACATATTCAACACATTAGAAGGAAAAGATTCAAATTTATTAAAATAAATATTTTTTCAAGCTTGTCTAAATGCTACCTTTTGTTGTTTTTTTTCCGATTTTGTATAAATTTAAATTGTCATAATTCGTGGAAATGCGGATCGTGTTCAACGCCGTTGGACTCCCAGGTTAACAGATCTTAACCTGTGCGGTTCCATCTGTGAGGTTATATAAAAGACAGGTTCTTTCACCTATGCCTGCTACTCTTGAAGATTTGAGACATCGGATTGTGGAAGCTGAGAATTCAATATCTACAAATCAATTGATTCGAGTGTGGCAAGAAGTGGAATAACGTTTCAATGTTTGTCGCGCAACACACGGTACTTATGTCGGGTGTATACGTTGAACAACCTTAAAATAATAAACTTTGAACATTTTCCTATCAAGCAGCGCGTTGAATTTTTCTCTCTTAGACTTTTTCTTTATTAAATTGTCGAAATCTGCTCTTCTACACAGAAACTATATATATATATATATATATATATATATATATATATATATATATATATATATATATATATATATATATATATATATATTTTTATTTTATTTATTTTTTTTTTATTTTGTGTATTTTATGTTTATACATAAAAATATTTAAGTAAATGCTCTGTTTATAATACACAGTATTAAACAATATTTATCAGCCTGGATGTCCGAGAAATTTTCATAGAAACTATTCGTCCTCCGACAGGATTTGAACCTGTATCCTATACGGAACGGTCATATAGCCTGACGTGTCTTTAACCTTTAACCGATTTGACCTTAGCAAGGTCGAATTTACCGTATTTGAACTTTTTACTTGCTAACCGAACGCGCAAAATCAGTAAAGGCACGTCAAGCGAAATGACAGTGACATATATATATATATATATATGTATATGTATATATATATATATATATATATATATATATATATATATATATATTATGAAATATTTTAATATATTTTCTGTTCATACGTTATTTTTATATATATTATTATTTAAGTAAATGCTCTGTTGATAATAAACAGTATTAATTACATTTACCGGCCTGAATGTCCGAGAAATTTCATAGAAAATATGTGTCCTCCGACAGAAATCGAACCTGTATCCTACTTGGAATATTCCTGATACACCATTTAGCTACAGAGGAAGCGCCTTGGTAGCAAAGTATAAATTACTGTTCTGAGTAATTGTATCTATACAAATAACATATAAACAAAATATATCAAAATAACTGTCGGCCTTAGTCCATTTCATATGTTGTCATTTTTCTTTGTGCAGATATTATCGTTCGTGAAAGAGCCAGGGAAATTTGTTGTTTTCCACTGACCTGAGGTGGAACGACGACATTGAATCAATAGCTTTATCTACCACAAGGAAAGCTGGTTCTCTCTGTCGCACCAAAATGTTTTCTTTCTCCTGCGTCCATCCTTCAAATTTACAAATCAATAATTCCTCCTTGCATTGAATAGTGTTGCCATATATGCTCTGGTGCCCTCGTTGTTCATCTCGGGGTCCTAGACAAAATCCCCAGACGGATATGCAATGTGATAGGTCCTGATCTGGCATCTCGTCTACAGTCACTTTCTCACAGACGTGATGTGGCTTCCCTCTGTCTTTTCTGTTAGTCATCATGGCGGTCGTCTTTGAGTATAGAATCCAGAGGTTAGCAGTGAATATTTCGAAGACAGTAGGAAAGCATTGTTCAGGTTAGCAGTGGATATTTCGATAAAAGTAGCAGAGCATAGTTCGTCCTTCTGGTTCTCTTCGCCTGACAAGCTGGACTGGACATTCGGGTAGAGTGAACAAAAATGGCCGCCTTTATACACGACGGATTGAATATTCTACGTCTTCTGATTGGTAAACCTTCAATTGGTAGATTATAAAGTCAGTCAGGGCATTAACTATCTCACTAGTACATATATATACACAAAACTGCAACATTTTCTACTAGTATTTTCATGGCAACTGCTCTGACGAGCTACTTTCACTGGTACCCAAACTGCATGTAAGCGTTCGAATAGGTTGGCATCTCGGTCCCACCATTTCACTAGAGAAACGGTTAAATGTACCCGTCTCTTCTACTTCAACAGCTTCTTCTCTTGCACTTACCGACAGTGGAACTCACTTCCTCCTACTTACTTCCCTGGTGGCTATAATCATCAAATATTCAAATGTAAAGTCAATCGACATCTTCTGATCCCTTTATTCTGATTCAAGTCCTTCTGTACATCCTTTTCTCAAACAGTTTTATTTACTGTTGCTCTCACTCCCTTTGCTTGGGGTGAAATGCTTTAAGAAAAAGAACTTAACCGTAAGCAGCGATCTATTGCTAAAGATGCTGGACACCTTCTCGGTTCATTGTACCGCTTCAGTATCTGACTCCTCCCTCTGTGATCCTCCATTTTTATAAGAACCAGATCAGGCTAAGCATGGCTAGGCTGAATCGGTCCATTTCTCAGTTGCCTGTCTTGATAGACTTCAAAAGCATCTACACGGCCTTGTGGGTGATTAACTATTTCCAATCATTGTACTCCGGCTATATATCTCGGTTTTCTCGACAAAAGTTTCGTAATGTTAACGCTCCTTATTTGACATCTCTATTTGAGTTACGTTTTCATCGACATGACGTGGCTTCCTTCTGTTTTTTCTATAAATATTTTGATGGCAGCTGTTCAAATTAGCTCTCCAAACCTCTATGCCATGAATATAAGCGTACTACTAGATTGCCTACTAGATCTCATCGATTTATTGATAAGATACGTAGCTATGGCCGTTCTATTCTAGTAGATTCTTTTTTCTCACTTCTTACCTGTGGAGCGCTCTTACGGTTTATTCCTTCCCTGGCAATTGGAATCTTCAACGATTTAAATGAAATATCAATCTCCATCTTCTGTCTTCCTGAAATCTCTTCTTTTATTGTCCTTTTTCCGCGTTAATTTTTGTTCATTCTCGTCTAATTCCAGTAACCTCTTGCGTCTTACTGGCATTATCGCCCTTCTTAGGGACGAAATAATTAAAAGAGACGAAGAGACGAAACATCGCGTGACTTTCGTTATATTTGTGAAGATCCTTCGCCAGTCTCAAAGGAATGACGTGTTCTAGCCTCTTTACGTTGCCCAGTCTGCAGCCAAATTCCGCCTTTTCCATTCATTCGACCACCGATCCAGCACTGTCACACGGGAATCAGCCTCTAAGTGAAACCGCCGTTCAAAATCTCAAATTCAAAAATAGCTTGTGAAGAGTCTTCTGCCTATAAATTTAACGCTTTCTCAACTGTACTACACACCACTAGCGTCGTCTTCAGTGTACTTTCTTCCTGCTATCATGCAATGTAGCCGCTTACATATTAACTTTCAATACATTTGCATTAGTGTGATGTCTATTTCATAAAATGGTGGTCGCTGGACACACGCGCCCACAGGCCTCGAACCGGATTTCCTCCTACATATCCCGCAACTTGAACAAGCTTCGCACTAGTTAAGCTGTGCTCTACGTTACTAAGATTTTATCGCTATTTCCCGAGGAGCTTGATTATTGGTCACACCAGACCTAAGATTTACAACCGGGGGACACCATGCCACGTACAGAATGATGAACCATCCTCATTTCCCCCGTATTCTCTTAGTAAAAAGGAAGTTCTAATAATTTCTTTTCAGTAAGTCCTGCTTTGTGAAACAAACTCCCTAGAGATTACTTTTCCAATCACTACATTCTTAACCTAATTCAAGTCGAGGAATAAAGTGTCGCTGCCGACACTTGTGTTTCAACATAGGGCACCAGTGAGCAAACCCATTAATGAATATAGTAGACCACGTAACCATACAGGAAACGCATAACTAGAAAGTAGCAAGACGTCCAAAACATCGCTATTTCTTCTCTATCCTCTATTAAAATACGGATCACCATTTCTAGCCTATCCTCTGTTACTATACGGTTCGCTGTTCTCTATACTATTTCACTATATGGATTACTATTCGAGCGAGTATTATCGAGCAAGTACTGTTAGTGCGAGTGCTATTCGAAGGCGTCTGACAGCAGTATCGTTCAACGGCGTTATTTTAGTTGTATCTGCGATTACAAAATCTCTACTACAACGAGCTTTCGTTGACATCACAAAAGTGACGAGTGTTCGTTGATATCACAAAAAGGGTTAATCGTTAACTTTCCCGCTTTGGCTCATAAGCTTGCCTTTTCTTGGGTTCATATAACATCAGACATTAAAACTTCTATATTTTGTGCCTCCTAGGCGTCGCATTTAGACGCGGATTAAAAATACCGCTTCCTCTTTCCATATAAGTAGTACCATCTTTTCTTTTCTAGTTGTATATACTTTTTACTTTCTTTCACTTTTTCTTTCTTCTCTGTATTCAGTTTCTTTATATCTTCCTCTCCGTGTTCACTTTTCTTTCTCTCTTCCTCTTTCTTTTTCGTGCTTTACTCGTCATATGTTTCTTTTCTTCTCTCTCTCTTTTCTTTTTCTTATTTATTTCATCCGTTCTCTCTTACTGTGCGTATAGCCGTAATCGCGAACAGAGAGAGTCAAAACGTTCTATCATAATCGGTTCATTAAGACTATAGCAGTCTTTTCTAATCTGATTAATAATTGTATATACAACGTAAAATATTAATAATTAAATACGCCATCTTAGATCCAAACAGCGGAAGCTTCTTTTCCGTTTTTTCTAATATGATGTACTTTCTTTTTCAGTTTCTCTCTTCTCACGTTCTTTTTGTCTTGTTCCTTCCTATGTCCTCTTATTTATTTCTCTCTTTATGTCCTTTCGCTTTCTCTTTTCGCTCTCTCACACACTCTCTGGAGTTGTACTCAGATAGATAGATAGATAGATAGATAGATAGATAGAGAGAGAGAGAGAAAGAGAGAGAGAGAGAGAAAGAGAGAGAGAGAGAGGGCGCTTCCAAGTATCCGCCATTTCTTGATTTCTTTCCCAATCTTATATAGTATCGTTTTCTTTCTCTTTTCAAATCACGCTTTCTTTCTTTTCTAAATTTTCGCATTGTTTCTCTTTTCCCCTTTTCCTTTCTTTCTTATTTCCCTTTTCTTTTTCCTTTCTCTCTTCAAATCTCTTTTTTTTTTCTCTTTTCAATTTCTCTTTCTCTTTTCCCCACTCCCCTTTTTCACTTTTCACATTCGCTTTTTTATCTTTCCACCTTTCATTTTCTTTTTTTAATTTTTTTTTCTTTTTTTCACTTTTCTCTTTCATTCTCTTTTCACCTGTCTCTTTCTTGATCTTTCATCTTTCGCTTTCATTCTCTTTTCACCTGTCGCTTTATTTATCTTTCACCTTTCTCTTTCATTCTCTTTTCACCTGTCTCTTTCTTTATCTTTAATCTTTCTCTTTCATTCTCTTTTCACCTGTCTCTTTCCTTATCTTTCACCTTTCGCTTTCATTCTCTTTTCATCTTTTGATTTCTTTCCCCTTTCTACCTTTCTCTTTCTTTCTCTTTTCACATTTCTCTTTCGTCCTATTGTCACCTTTCTCTTCTTTCCTATTTCCACTTTAATCTTTCTTTTTCTTTCCACCTATCTCTTTCTTTCTTTTTTAGCTTTCTCTTTCTTTTTTCACCTCTCACTTTCTTTCTCTTATCCCCTTTCTCTTTTTCCCTTTCTCTTTCTTTCTCCTTCATTCTCTTTTCCCATTTCTCTTTCACCTTTCTCTTTCTTTCTCTTTTCACCTTTCTCTTTCTTTCTCTTTTCCTCTTTCTTTTTCCCCTTTTCTTTCTTTCTCATTTCCTCTTTCTCTTTTCCCACTTTCTCTTTCTTTCTCTTTTCCAATTTCTCTTTTCCACTTTCACATTCTTTCTCATTTACCCTTTCTCTTTTCCCTTTCTCTTTCATTCTCTTTTCCCCTTTCTCTTTCTTTCTCTTTTCCTCTTTCTTTTTCCCCCTTTTCTTTTTCTCTTTTCCTCTTTCTCTTTTCGCCTTTCTCTTTCTTTCTTTTTCCCCTTTCCCTTTCTTTCACTTTTCCTTTTCTTTTTTCCCCTTTCTCTTTCTTTCTCTTTTCCTCTTTCTCTTTTCCCCATTCTCTTTCTATCTATTTTCCTCTTTCTCTTTCTTTCTCATTTCCCTTTCTCTTTCTTTCTCTTTTCCTCTTTCTTTTTTCCCCTCTCTCTTTTCCACTTTCTCATTCTTTCTCATTTCCCCTTTCTCTTTTCCCTTTCTCTTTCTTTCTCTTTTCCCTTTCTCTTTCTTTTTTCCTCTTTCTCTTTCCACTTTTTCTTCCTTTCCCTTTTTAGCGTTCCCTTTCTTTCTCTTTCCACTTTTATCTCTCTTTCTTTTTTTCAGCCTTTCTCTTTCTTTCGCTTTTCACCTCTCTCTTTATATATCTTTCCACCTTTCTCTTTCTTTCTTTCACATGAAGCCATAAGTAAAAAAAGAGAGAAAAAAAATAAGTAAAAAAAAAAAAAAAAAATTACAACATCTTCGATCCCGTCAGCAGAAGATTCCTTTTCGTTTTCTACTCTGATGTACTTACTTTTTCTTTTTCTCTCTTCTCCGGTTCTCTTTGTTTGTTTCTTTCCTTCATTCTCTTCTCTCTCTCTTTCTTCTCTTTCTTGCTTTCGCTCTCTTTAGCTTTAACTTATTCCTCTTTCTTTCGATCTTTTTTCATTCCTATCTTATTTTTCTTTGGATCTCTTTCCCGCATCTCTCTTGATTATTTCCTCCCTCACTTTCTCATTTGTTCTTTATTTCTTTTCTTTTTCTATTCTCTTTCTGTCGGTCTCTCTTTTCCTTCTCCCTCTTGGTTATTTCTTTTTCTTTCGATCTCTCTTTTCCTTTTCTCTCTTGATTATTTCTCAGTCTTTCGATCTCTTTTCCACTTCTCTCTTTTGCTTATTTCTCTTTCTTTCGATCTCTTTTCATCTTTCTTGCTTTTATTTCTTTTTCTTTCGATGTCTTTTCCTCCCCCCACTCTTGCTTTCTTTTTTTCTTTCTTTTTTCCTTTAATTTTTCTTCCTTTTGCTCTCTTTTCATCTTCTCTCTGTCTATTATTGCTATGTCCATGTGTAATCGTCAGCAAGCAGAGAATAAAAAAAAAAAATCTTCCACGATCCCGACAGCGGAAGATTCCTCTTCGGTTTCTGGTGAGATGTAATTAATTTTTTCAATTTCTCTCTACTCCCTTTCTCTCTTACTTCTTTCTTTTTCTTTCTCCCTCTTTTCCTCTTCCCTCTCTTGCTTCCGCTCTCTCTCTCTCTTCCTTTTCTCTCTGTTGCTTCCGCTCTCTCTTCCTTTTTCTCTCTTGCTATCGCTCTCTCTTCCTTTTTTTCTCTCTTGCTTTCGATCTCTCTTCCTCTTGTCTTTCTTGCTTTCACTCTTTCATCTTCTTCTCTCTTCCTTCCACTCTCTCTTCCTCTTGTCTCTCTTGCTTTCGCTTTCTCTTTCTCTTTTCTCTCTTGTTTTCGCTCTTTCTTCTTCTCTCTTTTGCTTTCACTCTCTCTTCCTCTTCTCTCTCTTCCTTCCGCTCTCTCTTCCTCTTGTCTCTCTTGCTTTCACTCTCGCTTCCTCTTCTCTCTTTTGATTCCGCTCTCTTTTCCTCTTGTACCTCTTGGTTTCGCTCTCTCTTCCTCTTCTCTCTTGCTTCCGCTCTCTCTTCCTCTTGTCTCTCTTGCTTTCGCTCTCTTTTCCTCTTCTCTCTCTTCCTTCCGCTCTCTTTTCCTCTTCTCTCTCTTCCTTCCGCTCTCTTTTCCTCTTCTCTCTCTTCCTTCCCCTCTCTTTTCCCCTCTCTTTTAATTATTTCTCTTTCTTTTGCTCTCTTTTCCTCTGCTCTTTCTTACTTCTCTTTCTTTCCATCTCTTTTCCTTTTCTCTCTTGCTTATTTTTCTTTCTTTCTTTCGTTTTCTTTTCATCGTCTCTCTATCTCTTATTCTACGTCGATCCTTAATCGGAAGCAAGTAGAGAGTAAAAAAAAAAGAAAAAAAAAAGGAAAGAAAGAAAAAGAAACACGACTTCCTCGATCCCGACAGCGGAAGTTTCTTTTTCGCTTTTCTAGTTTCTCTTTTCTTTCTTTCTTTCTTTCTTTTCGACTTTATTTCGCACTTCTTTCTCTCCCTCTCGCTCTCTTTTCCACTTCTTTCTCTTCCTTTCGCTCTCTTTTCCACTTCTTTCTCTTCCTTTCGCTCTCTTTCCCTCTTCTTTCTCTTCCATTCGCTCTCTTTTCCTCTTCTTTCTCTTCCTTTCGCTCTCTTTTCCCCTTTCTTTCTCTCCCTTTCGCTCTCTTTTCCTCTTCTTTCTCTTCCTTTCGCTCTCTTTTCCTCTTCTTTCTCTTCCTTTTCGCTCTCTTCCCCTCTTCTTTCTCTTCCATTCGCTCTCTTTTCCTCTTCTTTCTCTTCCTTTCGCTCTCTTTTCCCCTTTCTTTCTCTCCTTTCGCTCTCTTTTCCTCTTCTTTCTCTTCCTTTCGCTCTCTTTCCCTCTTCTTTCTCTTCCTTTCGCTCTCTTTCCCTCTTCTTTCTCTTCCATTCGCTCTCTTTTCCTCTTCTTTCTCTTCCTTTCGCTCTCTTTTCCCCTTTCTTTCTCTCCCTTTCGCTCTCTTTTCCTCTTCTTTCTCTTCCTTTCGCTCTCTTTTCCTCTTCTTTCTCTTCCTTTCGCTCTCTTTTCCTCTTCTCAATCTTGCTTCCGTTCTCTTCTTCTCCTCTCTCTCTGATTACACGTAGAGCCGTGATCTTAAGCGGACAGAAACGAAAATAAATAAATAATCCCTAAAATGAAGAAATAAATTATAACTTCCGTTTGCAGGAAGTATCAAGTAAACATTCTTTTTCAACAGCCAAAATAAATCTGTCTTTCTCACCTGGAGAAGGAAAACCACGGAGGCTCAAAGCAGCATCGATGCTTACACACCTTGTCGACAAGTAAAGAAACGAAAGAGGAATTCATCTGATCGGTCCGTTTTCTAGCTTATAGATTAATTACCCATTTTACGAAACAGATAAAGATTTAGATCGCAGCTGGTCTTAACGAGAATAGAACGATTCCTGTAATAAAGAAATAATAAGACAGTCAGAGTCAAGTTTTGCAAAACTGCGGAAACAATAAAAAGGTATTAACAATAATAATAATAATAATAATAATAATAATAATGAAAACACATATGGTTAACGCCTAATAAAACACATAATCCAGCAATCCAGGAGTTAATGCGTTTAAAGACAAGCTAACAAAATTATCAATATTAAACCGTAGTAGAATAGCAAAATAGTTAATAGCTAACGAAAGGTTAAAAAAATACTTCTTCCTTACAAATGAAATACGAATGGATTGAGTACGATTTGGCTCTATATCTAGTGGCATAACAGATGTTAGGAAAACCACTGAGAGAGTCAAATTTAGCAAAACCGCTGTGCCTATATAAAAGTAATGATAATATTAGGTTGGTGCAAAATAATGACGTAATAATGTCGTTTTTGACGTTAAAAAATACGTCAAAAAACGACATTATTACGTCATTATTTTTGCACCAATTAAAAAACAGGCGTTTAACGCCTAACAAAACACTTAATCTAGTAATCTTGGAGTTTAACACGTTTATAGGTTTGTAAAATAGGAAAAACTCTATCTAGAAGCTTTCTTTTTATGCGACGTGTCCTTTCAGAACGTAGGCGATCATGGCTTCCCCATATCCATTGTAACTCTCATTATGTTTTGTCCCCTTGATGCTTCCCCAGGCTATGATGGGTCATCCACTTGCTCAAGCCCGCCACGTATGGTTTCCCTTGTCCTTTCCCTCTATTCAATCTTTGAGTATCAGATTCTCCAAGCACTCTTTTCTCATTGTGTCCAAGAAAATTCAGCTGGACCTTCCTGATGTTGAGTATAAGCTCCTCCTTGTTCGCATCCTATCCCAAACCTCATCGTTGCTCACACACTCAGGCCATAATATCCTTAGCATCCTTCTGTAGAACTATACCTCCTTTTCCCGAGTCTCTTTTTGCATCTTTGAGGAAATCGCCCAACATTCGCTGCCGTAAAGGAGAACAGATGTCACGTAGCAGCTCATTACTCTTTTCTTTGTTATCAAAGAAATCCTCCTGTCTCGTAATACTCTCCCTAGCTTTTGGAATGCGTCTTTGGCCATCCCAATACGTCTTCGGATCTCAGCGTCGCACTTACCGTCCAACATTCGCTACCGTAAAGGAGAACAGATGTCACGTTGGCTATTCCAGTACGTCTTCGGATCTCAGTGTCACACTTACCGTCCTTTATCAAAACACATCCTCGGTATTTTAATTTCTGCACCTGTTTGATTTTAGTGATCCCGATCTGTAAATCGCCTTTTAGAAGCTTATGATGCCTTATTTGAGCAAATCAGCTCAAGTGCTGAGAAACGTTTATCTTATTTTCATGGATAAGTACAAGCGAAAAGGGAGATGGGATATGTTTATTTTATTACTCCAAGGTCATCAGGCTTCTCAATATAAATAGAAAATAGAGCTGCAACGGTTAATTTATAAAAAGAAAAGTTCAAAAGTAGGTTTACTTGGGAAGAAACTGTCCGAATGGAATTTCTTATTTACTAATGGAATACGAAAGTATGGACGATGATTTGGCGCTATATAAGTGGAGGTTACACGTGACATATCTGGTCTTAGCGGTAAAATTCTAGCAAGGGTGGAACTAAACATTTACTATAGAAATAACGATAGAGTAGCGGGAGGCTTACAACGCTTCGTGTATATATATATATATATATATATATATATATATATATATATATATATATATATAATAAAAGTAAAAAAAAGAAAAAGAAAGACCAAACAAATAAGTTAGTTAAAAGGGAGGTAGAGAAAGAACAAGTCGCAAGACGAGCCAATATAATAAATCGTTTTTTTACATATGTGTTTGTTGTGTATATATATGTTTGTATATATATATATATATATATATATATATATATATATATATATATATATATATATTTATGTGTATATGTATTGGTTTGTTTTCTTCTATTATTCCGAAAAAACACCCATTCTTGGCCGCATGTAGGAAGATCTATACAACTGTGCATACCTAATCTATAACATCGAATAGCCCAAGTGAAGTCTTGATTGGTTGTTGTCTACTGGGGCAACTTATATAATTCACGTCCGTAATCTAGTGGCAAATTTTTGTTCTAGGTGCGGGCCGAATACTGATCATATTCGGTTGGGTCGCCCATCGAAGAAGTCTGTTGTTTATTTAGACCCGAAACTTATAGTGACATGGGAGCAACAACACTGACGACGCATCTAGATTCGGCACTTTGTATTTTAATAATAATATATGTAGTGTACAAACGAACAATAAAGAAACATTTTATTTTATATATACAGACTTTCTCCGATATAAAGCTGGTTTTATCTATCAATGTTCAATAATGTCTAGACTTTTCTTAGGCTATCGATAGTGATCTGTTACGGATCTATAGATATCGATGTCATCATTGATTTTACAACATTACTTTTTTTTTTCTTTTCAAAGCCTGTCGAATCTGAGTTGACTGCTTCGCTTGTATTTAACGACAGCAATAAAAAAAATCAGGAATACTAAAAAACAATAGGAATATAAAGTGGGTGCTTAAGTATAGAAAGTATCTTATGTCACTTACTCTCCCCCGAGGTACCTCGGTGAGAGCAATAATAAAACTTTAGTGCTGGTGAGACGAAAGGGTACTAGGAAGAGTTAAAAAGTAAAACATGTCCTGACCCAAAAAAGAAAATGTATTGAGCAAAATTTTATGGGAAAATTAGCTCGAAGCACATGTTGTAATAGAATGTTTCACTCTCCATATTACCTATGGTGGACTGACTATATCAGTAATATATGTAGGATATACCAGAGTCTGTTTATAAGACTGACTGTTTCCGGAAAGTGTTAGTCGACTCCCTGTCTTTCAGTAGTGTATTCTCTTTACAATAAACCTCTCTTCCATCTAGGCCTTTGTTGCTGTTCTTTCCACTCGAGTACTGCTTTTGTTTGTAACCTTTTTAAGGATACAACAAAAACAAATCAAATACTAAAATCTTTAACCATCTCAAATCCACGGATAAACTCATAAATGTGGCCAAAAGGCATCAACAAAACCCATAGTCTATTTTAGAAAATAATACTAGATAATTTATTTGACATATTTTTTTATAATCAGTTACCCCAAACAAGGTGATACTGCCTGTAAAATGCAAGAGGCTACTGAGAAATAAAGAGGATTATAAGGCTTTAAAAGAAACCGAAAACGCAATACTAAACAAAAAAAACAAGGGATACACATCTACTCCTGTTCACAAACCGGGGAGCAGTGTGAACCAAGAGAAGGTAAACCTATATACTCCATTCGAGGAAAAGATTAACAAATAAATAGTAAATAAATGTTCAGAGTTTAGGTGGAAATGTCGAAAGTATAGAACGGAAGTAAACTTTAGAAGGAACCGGAAATCCAGTCCGAAGCAGGAAACCTCTACTCTAGTTCAAAAACCCTGGCGATCTACTCGTATTAATACAGGTCGTCTTCCTCTTTCGATCGACAAAATAGTGTTGCATGTGGCTTAATCTGTCTCAACACGGGAAAACTCCCCCAGTTTGGATACCGGTAGGATTGACCGATCGATAGACCTTGCCGATTCTATGGGTGGTGGTGCATGGCTGTTCTTAGTTGGTGGAGCGATCCGTCTGGTTGATTCCGATAACAAACGAGATTCTGGCCTGCTAACTTGTGAGCCGATGTGTGCGTTTATTCAATGGCGGGCTCGGCTGCG